TAATAATAATCATATTTACTTAAAGTCATAAAATATAATTTAAAAAATCTTTTATGGAGAAGAAGTTTATGAAAGTCATAATGCAACCCTTGGTTATACCACAGCTCCAAAGGTACACACGCTACCTCAGCCACTGGAGTAGCTGGGATTACATATATGTGCCATAACACCCAATCACCCAATGGCATAATTAATCAAAGAGTGCAAAACATTATACATAAATTCACTTTTACTCATTCCCAGTTCTGTCATCTTTCTATGTCTGGGGATAGAGAAGAAAGTCCTATGGTATATAAGCAGTCATTTCATCTATTGGTGCAAATAAGCTGTATTATCTAATGCATACTCAAATGGTATGTTTTAGTCACAAACAGGTTACAGGTTTTCCAAAATCCTGAAGCAATATATGGACATATGGTATTCCCTCTTGGGATGATAATTTTATTCATCAACTTGACTCACCCATGGGGTGTCCAGACGTTTGATCAAATATGTGAGTGTGTTTCTGGATGTGATCAACATTTGGATTTAGACTGGAAGACTGAATAAAGCAGACTGTCCTCTCTAATAGGAGTGGCCCTTGTCCTATCAATCAAAGACCTGAATAGAACAAAAACACTGAGTAAGAGGGAACTAGTCCTACCTGACTTTCTGAATAGAGACATCAATCTTTTCCTGCCTTTGGACTTAAGTGAAAAATTGGTTCTTCTCTTTTTTGGGGGTGAGTAGGTGTGGGTACTGGTTATTTAGCCCAGGGGTACTTTACCACTGAGCCACATTCCTAGCCTTTTTATTTTTGACGCAGTTTGCTTAGTTGCTTAAAGCCTAGCTAAGTTGCCGAGGCTGGTCTCAAACTTGCGATCCGCCTGACTCAGCCTCCTGAGTCACTGAGATTACAGGTGTGCATCTCCACACCATTGGCTCTACTAGTTCTCAGGCCTTCACATCAGAATGGAACTGTATCAGCTCTCAAGTCTCCAGCTTCCTGACTCTATTTTGGGACTTCTCACTCTCCAATCAATTAATTTATTCCTTCCTTCCTTCCCTCCCTCTCCCTTCCTTGCTCCCTTCTACTAATCCTGCCCCCCACCCCCCGCCCCAATCCCATTTATTGGTTCTCTTTCTCTGGAGAACCAAATACATCTCGATTTTATAAATGACTACATTGGGGTATAAAATGATAAATTATACCACAAATCTAATTCACCTTTCCAGAGGGGTACATAAAAACCAGCACCTTAGGAGTCTATCTAGATTCTGCTTCTTAGGCAAACTCAAATGCCTATCTCCTTTAAAGTACATATTTAAGGTAACTGTTAAAATTCCTTCATATTTCCAGTTAGTTTTCCTTTTTTGCTTAGGAACAGAAGTTGATTAATGCCAATAGTTTCAATATTCATAGCATTAGGTCTTGCACTTAAGTGGACCTTTAGAAGAAACATAAAATCCACTGAGTAATTTAATCTTCCACTTAAGAGGATACCTTATGTCTTACCACTATTAAAAATTAAGTAAGATATCAAGTACAATCTACACCTGTATACTTACCAATTCCTAATTTCAAGCTATCTAAAAAGAGGGACCAATTTACCAAGTTCAAAAAAGATGATCTGCTCTTTTTGCACAATTTCTGGATAAATCTATAAGAGTATTTCTATCTATTTTAGAACTAAAGACCAGAATGTCAAATTTTCTGAGGGAAAAATAGCAAAAGGAAATGCTATCCAAATAAGGAAAGCAAAGATCCTTAAAGGCCAAAATCTTAAAGTCTTAGTTTCTTTGTTGCTTGCTTCTATTTCAATCATAAGTCCAAATGTTCACCCACAGAAGAGAAAACTGGCACACAATCTTAGGTAAATGATTAAACAAATCAAGTGGAAAATGTAGAATTGGTTACATTCCATTGGAGAATGTGGACTTTTAGGTGGAAAAAAAAAAAAAACCCAGAAATTTAACCTCAAAATAGCACAAACCAAAGAATTAATGATTTTCTTCTTTTCCTTTTTTGTGACATTCTTAGTTTTTAAACCTTTCAAATCTTCCTTTTCTCAGTAGTACTACAAATTAGATGGCTAATAACAAAAAATGATTTATAGCTTCTCTTTCTAGAGGAATTTTTAATATAAATTACCTAAATTCTCAAGTAACATTCAAAGTGATATTTTTAAAACTTATAAAAGTTCAGAGTGCAATGTAATGCTTATGACATTATCTCTTTCACCCATACATCTAAGAAAAAGGCATCTTGGCTATTTTAATCAAAATTCCTTTCTAAAACATTAAAAGGCTAAAAAAATAGAAAATGTTTAAATTTGCCTAGCATGTGAGAGGCACTGGGTTCGATTCTCAGCACCACATACAAATATATGAATAAAATAAAAGTCCATTGATGCTTTTTAAAAAAAAAAGTAAAGAAAAATTTTGACCTCTTTGTGATTTGTAAAATGGAGTTTTTTTTTGCAGTGCTGGGGATTGGATCCAGGGCCTCAAGCATGCTATGCAAGTGCTCTGTCACTGAGCTATACCTCTAGACTACTACTTGACTTTTTCCAGTTCTCCCAGTCTACTACTTGTCATTCATAAGAATGTTAAAAGAGAATGAAATATATCAGATTCTGAGTTCTCAGAAAAAAATTATTCACTAAAAGGATAATATCTTTTTTCTCAGTAATGAGGTATGCTGGACTAGCGACTGACAATTAATTTGAGAATATTTTTTGAGTTTGAAAAATTTCTTGATTGAATTTTCCCCACCTAAGTAACAAATAATTGCAATAAGCCTGAGAAAGATATATTTATTGAAACTTTATTTATGGTAGTTTAAGTTCATGGTAAACTTTAAAAAAAAAAAGGTGCTAAAAAATATGGACCTGGATGTTACATACCAAATATAGTGAAAAGTGGGAAAAAACCTGAAATGACATCTATATTTGTCTGATTTTATAAAACAAAAAACTGCCTTCCACCCCTGTTTAACTGAATTAATTGAGCTCTGAATTCTAAAATACTCTAATATGTGAGGATTTCTATTCTGTCCTGGACATTGCAGCAATTAAAAGAAGCATTTAGAGAAAACTGTTAGTAAACCCAATCCCTTCCAAGGACTAGATTAATGTACCATAAATAAAGTTTCAATAATTATATCTGGTCTTGTCAAATGGTAAGACATACCATTTGAGTATGCATTTGATGTTCTGGTCTTCAGTTCTAAGGTTTAAAAACTAAGATAATTACAATGTTATTTAAACATCAGAATCTGAAAGCCAAGAAGAAAGTACAGGCTACGATTCTCCTTTACAACAGCAGGATAAGAATCAAGGTCACTGTTTAATCTTTATCCACTACTGACTCAGTAACTTAGCAGGGTATACCTAATTCCCTACCTCAACTTTCTTCCCAAACTTCCTCCAGTTCCTTCCAGAGTTTTTCCTCCCCAACATCCATCTCCAAATTCTGTCATTCTGTATAACCCATTCAGCAAAAAACAAAAGTCTAGGGCTGAGGTTGTAGCTCAGTGGTAGAGTACTTGCCTAGCATGTCTGAGGCACTGGGTTTGATCCTCAGCACCACATAAAAATAAACACAATAGATACTGTGTCCATGTATAACTAAAAAATATTAAATAAATAAACAAAATAAAGATACTATATTCACCTACAACTAAAAATTAAAAAAAAAAAAAAACAAGAAAAGAAAAGAAAAAAAAAGTCTAAGGCCTGAGTCAAACAAATCTTGGAAAGTCTTAATGCATCTTGCTAAATATATGTAGCTTTTGTTTAATTTTTACCAAATATAATCATGCTACAAAATTTTTATTTTTTATTTTTTCACTTATTATCCAAAACCATAAAGCTTTTAAGAAGCTGAGTCAAGATTCAAAATCAGCTCTATCAGATTCCATGAAGCCCATTTCATGCTTTATTACCTCTTATATCCAGTTATCAAATTATAAATAAGTAACTTCAATCAACTTGTGTGGTGCCAAAATGTCCTATTTGAAGGGATCATAGTTTAAAAAATTCACTATCTGATGATGTTAAAAGTTCTAGGGCTATAAATTAAAGATCGTTCAATACCAATGTCATCCTATATGCTAGTATGATGAAACTAAATAGTTTGCAAAGGGTTAGGTCAAAACCCAACAGTCTTCATTTTGCATTATAATTAGTTCACTTCCTGTTTAAAATTCCAAGGTTCTGCCTCAAAAAATAATAAATTACCTAACAGGAATAATACACATTAGTCAAACCATGTAATAACTGAACTAGCAAAGTAGACAATTTCAGGCACCCAAAGCCAACTGAAAAATGATTAGCTGTGTACATCAACTGGTAATACCATAATTTGCCTAATATCTTTTTGTTAATTGGTTCTTTTTAGTTATACTTAATGTGTCAAAGGTATCAGAGCAATGATGTATAACCATTTCAATTTACATACTTTGGAAATACTTCCAGTTGAAAATTGGTTTCTCAGCAAAAGATAACCAGAATTTACCCATAGTATCTTTTAAAAAAATCAAATGGGCACATTTCTGTAACTGTTACTCACATCTTAACATTTTTTTTATTTTTGCAGTACTCGAGATGGCACCCAGAGGGTTTCTACCACTGAGCTACATTCCCCAAGCCTTTTAATTTTTTATTTTGAGGCAGGTCTCCCTAAGTTGCTGAGGCTGCCCTTGACCTGGTGATCCTCTTGCTTCAGCTTCCCTGAGTCCCTAGGATTATGGGTATGCCACTACCCCTGGAAAAATTGGCAAATTTCTATGACTCTTAAGAAAACTCACTGGGATAAATATCAAGTTTTAGTACTGGACTATTTATAATTTCTCAAAGGGTTGTAAAAATGTAACTAACCTACAAAGCAGGTAAGCATTACATATAATAAAGAGACTCCTTTTACAGGTACTCAATTGAAAAAATATTTTTTAAAAAGCTGAATTGGAAGTCTTCACAGCAATTAATATGTCATAAAAAATAGAGAATATTAATAAATACCTGAATGGAAGTGGCTGATTCCTGTAAATGGCCACTAGCAACTGCTCCTTTGGGAGTTGCTAAAGGGATACTGTGCATCTTGGGGGTTCCTGGAATATCAACATTTTCATCTGTCCTATGTGACTGCCAGACTTCCTTTCGATGATGAGCTTCAGTGGCTTGCTGATCTCCAAAAGCAGCCCAGGAACAACCATCTTTTTGTTCATCCCCAAAAGCATTCCAATCTACAACTTGGCTAGCTGAACTGAAGTCCGCAAAGTCATCAGAGTCTTGAAAAGCATTGCAGTCATCTTGAATATTTGGCACTGAATCAAAATCTCCAAACTCGCTGTCTTGCCCATTTTTCAGTTCTGAAACAGGTTCAGTGCCTGTTCCACTAGACTTTCTTGCCAATTGACATTCCTCTGATAAACTATCAGAGGTCTGTTTCAGGTCTGAATCAGTAAATATCATTTCCTCCGGGTAAGAAGCAGTATTTGTATCCCCGAATTCTCCAAAGTCATCACTCGGTTCACTAAAATGTGGAAAGTGCTCTGAGGACTCTTCAAAAGTGACATCACTCATTGAATCTTGAGTACCAGTGACCAAAGGTGGAGTGGTGCCACTGGCTGTGCCAAAGTCACCAAAATCATCCTCATTGGTATCATTGCAAGTCACAAAATCATTACTACTATCACCATTTTTTACACTTACAGAATCATCCAAAACATTTTCTTCTGTAGGACCAATGTTTGGGATTTGGGAATTAGTAAACTTTCTACTTTCTTCTTTGGAAGAACCAAGTTCTTCATCAGCATCAAAAGTTTTAATAGAATCCATGCATAGGTCAGCACATTTTGAAGTAACTAAATGTAGTTCTTCCTCAGTTTTACATTGTTCTTTCCTAATGGCTTCTGAGTTATCAGTCGACTCTACCAAATTCCAAGCCTTTGATTGATTATTTGAATTTAAAAATTCATCCTGTTGCAGCACTGGAAGGCCTTGTTTTTCAACACCAAAACTTCTGTTAGGTGCTATGCTTATTTCTGAAACACAAACCTGATCCTCTCCATCAGTGTCTCCTTTTTCATCAAAACTTTTAACCAAAGACACTTCTTTTACAGAATTCAGTTCATTGACTCTGTTAATTTTGTTGTTTTCCTGAATGGTTAGCGCATCTCTCTCATTTAAAACTGCACATCTTATTTCTTCTAGTTGTATCCTTTCCTTTTGGGAAAATGTGGCAAAATCTGCAAATTCCTCAGCAGGACTAGGTGCAAAGTCTAAATTATACTCAGTGCTATGAGTGCCCAGAGGCTTTTGTCCCTTTGAATCAGCTACATTGTCTAGATCATCTGTTCCCTGAGGATTTACAGTTTCCAACCCTGCAAACCCATTTGTTAGAATCTCCAGACAAGGAGGCTTTTCACCATTGCAGCTCTCTAACTGCTTGTTTTGATGAACAATGTTCATATCAGTTCTAAAATCTCTTGGAGTGAAACTTTCACGTGTTCCAACATTCTGTCTCTGCTCTATTACTTTGTTTAAATCTCCTGGACTTTCCATGCCATCAGTAGAAGTTTCTAAAGTTTTAGATGAAATAATTTCTTTGCTGGTGGTACAAAGTAAAACATCAGACTGACCTTTCATGGGAGTACAAAGTTCAGCAGTGATGTCCTTATCATTACCATTTTTAATGGACTTAAAGCTTGTAAGGCTATCTACATTTTCTGAGAAATCATGAATTGGCATAAAATGGTTTGAAGATACAAACTCTTCCTTAGGACGAGTGTAATCTGGTGTATCAAAATCGACAAACCCTATGCCAGAAGGGCTGACTTCTGAAAATCCACCAAATTCCCCAAATTCATCATCATCCTCCTCCTCTGCTCCATTGTCTAGTGGTGGTGGGGATGAAGAGTACATTCGAATGATGTCTGGCTCCATTGTTCAGTTGCTTTCTAAGGATTAATTTATACCTGTTTAAAAAAAAAAGTTTTTGAGGGAAGAATTATATATAATAAAGTCTTTCAAAATTTTCTCAAAGCTACCTTAAAGCAATGCAAATTTACACTGCTCTATTTTGTATCTTTTTTTAAAAAAATATTTTTTAGTTGTAGATGGACACAATACCTTTAATTTTATTTATTTTTACGTAGTGCTGAGGATCAAACCCAGTGCCTCCCATGTGCTAGGCAAGCACTCTACCACTGAGCTACAACCCTAGCCCTCTATTTTGTATCTTTTAAACTATATTTCTCTTAAATGAGATTACACAGTTACAACATAGTGGCAAAAAATATTTCTTTTCTCTTTTAGCATGTTACCAATGTCTTTGGGAGTACATTAAAGAAATATGGGACTCCAAAAAAATTTGAATAGACATCTTTAACAGTACACCTACAAAGTTTTCTCTCAGGCACTTGCTTATTCTGTTAAATTATCTTTCAAATTCACTGGGGACTCAGTGTTTGCCTTATGGATTTGTATGAACTCTCTATATATTAAGACATGAAAATCCTCAAATTGCTACAAATAATTCCTCCAGTTTGCTTTTCAATGTTTATTTCTGAACCCAGGTTAACTTTTTAATACCTGAATTTTGAAGTTCGTTTAAGGCTCACAAGAACTTGCAAAAATAGTCGAGCTCTTGTATATTCTACCAGCTTCTCTCAATGCTAATAAACATCATCAGATGCTCCTTGACTTATTATAGGTATACACTCCAAAAACCCATCATAAGTTGAAATTATCATAAAGCAAAACTGCATTTAATACACCCAACCTACTGAACATCACAGCTTAGCAACACAGTGCACTGTAGAGCAACACATATGGCTTGCTGTTGCTCATGAGAAAGTGTCCTATTGCATATTGCTAGACCAGGAAAAGATCAAAATTCAAAATTCCAATTATAGCTTCTACTAAATTCATACTGCTTTCACATCATCATAAAGTTGAAAAATTGTAAGTCAAACCATCATAAACTGAGGACTGTCTGTACCTGGTCAAACCAGGAAACAGACACCAGTACAATTCTACTAGCTTAGCTACAGGCCTTGTTTGGACTTCACCTGTTTTTTTCTTTTTTTGGTCCATGTGTAGTTTTATGAAATGTTATCATGTGTATCAATTAGTTATCACTACAACTGGGATAAGTTCAATGAACACAAAGAAACTCCCTCATGTTGCCCCTTAATAGTCACATCTATCTTTGGGGGTGGTGATCTCATGAACATCCAAGGGAAATCAGTAGGGCAGAAGAAAGGAACCAGGGAAGAAAGAAGGGAAGGATTGAAAGGGGCAATAACTGGGAAATGACACTGGCCAAAAACACTGTCATATTGTGTGCATGTACAAATATGTAATAATGAATCCCACCATTACTGGTTGTAATTATAATGAACCAATAAAAAATATGGGAAAAAAGTTATACCTTTGCTTAGATTTTAATCCTTGACAATCACTGATCTATTCTCTTTCATTATAATTTGGCTATATCAAGAGTGTTAGGTAAATGAAATTATGTAATATGTAAACCTTTGAAGCTGGCTTTTTTCATTCAGCCTAATGCCCTTGAGGGCCATACATGTTGCTGCACATATTAATAGTTCATTCTTTTTATTGCTAAGTAGTCATCCATTATATAGCTGTACCACAGGTTGTCTATCCATTCACTTTATAGAGGACATCTGAGTTGTTTCAATATTTGTATAGTGCAAATAAGGCTTCTATGAACACACATACAAATTACTGTGTGAACATAAGTTTTCATTTCTCCAAAACATATATCTAGGAGTGTGAATGCTGGGTCAGAATGCTGGGTCAGATGGTATATTCAATTTCATAAAACTGCCAACCTGTTTTCCCAAGTTTATTTAATGAAGTCAAGTCAACTGTTCTTTTTATTTGTGATTTTCTTCATCGTTTTACTAGTATATAAGTGCAAGAATTCATAAATATTCACTTTTATTTGCCTGTATGTTTTAAAATTTATTTTTAATACATTAGAACTTATTTTGGTGTAGGATGTAAGCAAGGATCTGATTTTTTCCCCTAAATAATCAAGCAATAATCATAACCCCATTTGTTGAGTAATACTCCCCATATTCATTAATTTACGATGTCTCCTTTTTCATATATTTAATTCTTAAATGCAATTTGTCAGGGCTATTCTGTTCCTCTATACTAAGGATACAAGTCAGATGACATTAGAAGCAATGGAAGGACAACCAACCAAAGTCCTAGAATAAAACTATCCCATAAATAATAAACTGATACTTCTTGAAACTCACAGTTGCTAAGTTAGATATATGAGGAAAATATCTGCTATAAAATATAACCAATTTTGCAAGCTAGAGAAAATCACTTTTTCCCAGTTCTTAAGTTTCCCCAGTTTTAGAGCCATGGTACTTAAAAATCACATAATGTAATTCATGAGATGAGGAAAATAAGGCCTATTGTTGATAACTTTCCCAAAGTTCATATGCCTGCTTAGTGGAGAATGGCTTTGGAATTTTGAAAAGGAGGACCTTTGAGATCAGTGATGGGTCCAGCCACCGAGTTATTCTGAATGAAATATGTAAGCCAGAAAAAAGTAAAAGACAAAATTGTAATATTCCTACTTTAAATTATCTTCCTTATGAAATTAGCACCATAAATAAATAACTGCTTTAGCTCTGAGATACTGTTCTGCTGCTGATTTGAAAAGGATAAAGCAATAAAAGGTACAGATAAGTACTATTTTCTTCTCTTGTCTAACATTTTGATAACTTTTCTCATACTCAATGTCAAAGGTAATTTGATCTTTAACAAGTTCTCCCTAATTAGGAAGTTCCTATTATTTAAACATATTCTGCCAATGTCAATGAGAGTATAGGAAAAGGGACTCCTGCACATACATACTGCTGTTGGGACCGTGAATAGTTTAAAGGCTTACAGAAGGCAATACGACTATACTATGCAAACTCTGAAAATCAAAAACAAAACTTATTATGCAGCCATTAACTGCATGATTTCTTTTTCTAAAATTTAAAAGCATTAATAATGATAAGGACATGTCAAAAGGACACAAAAGCCAAACTGGGAGAGGGGGGGTCCAACTAGTAAAATCAGGGACAATTTAGTACTAAAATAAAGACAAATAAATTATAACATACTGAATAAAATAACAATCTGAGTTCTCCCAAATATAAGCATATCAATGAATAAATCAAATGTTAGATAAAGAACAAGATAGTTGAATAGTTTCAAAGTAATTCCCTACAATATAATTAATTACAAAGGGAAAAAGTATAACTTTACAGCAGTGAAGCCTGATACTCCCAGTGATCAAGGTGAATACTGAACTCATGTAGCACCTGATGAGATGTGATTAGAATAATACAGGACCATATCTGGAATATTCTTATCAAAAATATATAAACTGAATTAATGAGGAAACAAATCTAAAATGGGAGGCACTTTACAAACAAGTTGGCCTATAATCTTTAAAAGTATAAGGTTATGAAAGTCAAGGAAAGAAAGACTGAAGAACTGTTTCAGATTGAAGATTAAAGAGACAACAGTAAATGCAATATTTGATTCTCAATTAGATCCCTTTCTATAAAAGGTCACTTCGATGATTGTGAAACTTGAAGTCCACGGATTAGATAGAAGCAATGTTAATTTCTTGATTTTGATGAATTTGTGGTTATGTAAGAGAACACCTTAGGTCATAGGAAACATACACTAAAATATCTGGGAGTGATAGGGGCTTTAGTCTGGAGATCTACTCTCAAACTGTTCCAGAAAAAAATGTTATTTGTATTGACCTTGCAACTTTTTATAAGTTTGTGACTGATTCAGAATAAAAAAATTAAAAATATATTTAAAAACATTCAGGGAGAGTTGTGTACCTGCATTTAGGTATGTACACTTTAAAATAAATGTACTTTAAGATAAATGTATTATTTACTTATGCAAATAATACTTATTTTTTTTTTAAAAATGTGGCCAGATAGATAACATAATATCTGCCACTTTTAAGTGTATACTTCAATGACATTAAGTACATTTCATGTTGTACAACCATCACGACCATCTGTCTCTAGAAATGTATCATTTTATCTTCAAAAATATCAAAATGTCTTCTGTACTCATTAAACAATTACTTCCCAGGCTTATTTCACTTTACATAAAATCTTCAAAGTTCATCTGTTTTGTAGCATATCTCAGATCTTCACTCCTTTTTATGAGTGAATAATACTCTATTATATGTATTGCCCTAATGTGTTTATTCATCAAAGGATACTCAGGTTGCTTCTACTTTATGGCTATTGTGAATAATGCTACCATGAACATCGGTGTACAATATATCGTATTTTAAAACCTTTTTATTTTGAAATAACATTACAAAAAAAGAGCATAAAGTCCTGTGTAACCCTTAAACCAGTTCCCAGAAATGGTGTTCTAATATATAGCTACTATTATGGTTTAGATATGAGGTGTCCCCTCAAAAAACACATGTGTAAGACAATGCAAGAATGTTCAGAGGTGAAACAATTAGATTATGTGAACTATAACATAATCAGTAGATTAAATCCACTGATATGGATTAATTGTAGGCAGGTACAGTGCAGTTGCAGGAGGATCACCAGGGAAGTACCTTTGGGGTTTAAATTTTGTTCCTGGTGAGTGGAATGTGCTCTTGCTTTCTCTGCATGCCCTTCTGCCACAATGTTCTGCCTCACTTTGTTCCCACAGCAATGAAGTTGGCTATTTGTGGATTGAAACCACTGAAACTGTGAGCATTAAATAAACTTTTCCTCCTCTATGCAGTTTTTGTTAGGTCTTTTGGTGATAATTAAGAAAAAAATTAACAACAACAACAAAAGAACAGTAGCAAAACCAGAAACTAACAGAGTTGGCATATTAATATTAACATTACTGTTAATATATCTAATTTTTATCTTTTTAAAAAAAGAATTTGCATTTATTT